ACCTATGCTTTGCTGATGATCTGCTAGTTTTCTCTGATGGTTGTAACTATGGTTTCCAACAATTGATTGAGATTCTAGCTCGCATTAGGAAACTTTCAGGTTTGCAAGTAAATCCTAGTAAATGTGAACTTTTCTTTGGGGGGTTGCCTGGTCCTAAACAGAAAGTGAGGGCTGATAGGTATGGTTTTGCTTTGGGAAAGTTTCATGTGAGGTATTTGGGAGTTCCCCTCTCCTCAGGGAAGCTCACTGTTTCAGCATGTAAGCCCCTAATTGATAAGATTGTTGCTCGGATTAGTAGCTGGAAGTCTCGCTTCCTGTCATATGCTGGTAGGGTGGAGCTTATTAGTTCAATACTATACAGCTTGCACTAGTTTTGGATGGCTGTCATTATACTTCCAAAGGCAGTGATCCGTGAAGTGGAAGGAATTTGTAGTAACTTCTTGTGGGGTGTTGTTCATAGTGGTAGAATGAAAGCGAAGATAGGCTGGAAGAATCTTACTTACCCCAAGAATGAGAGCGGACTGGGGTTGAGGGACCTAGAAACTTGGAACATTGCTTGTGCTACTCGACATATCTGGCTTCTGTTATTGCAACATGGTTCTCTGTGGGTTGCATGGATCAGTGTCTATAAACTGAAAGGCCAAGATTTTTGGTTTTATGGGGGTAATTTTGGTTCATGGAACTGGAAACGGATTCTGAAAACGAGGCAAAAGGTCTTTGATTTCTTCCATCAGCAGGGGCAGGACGTTTACTGGGATCAAGAAAGAATGGAGACTTTTTCAATTAGGAGAGTCTGGGAGACGTTAAGGCCAAAAAGGCAGCAAGTAACTTGGTCTAATCTATTATGGAAGGAAAGCTCCATCCCTCATAATAGGTTCATTGCTTGGTTAATCTTGAATAGAGCGGTTACTACAAAAGAGAAGATGTTGAAATGGGGATTTGATGGTAGTCTGGGTTGTGTGTTTTGAAATTGCTCGTTGGAAACTTCGGATCATTTGTTTGCAGAATGTTTGATGTACAGGAAAATGATTTGCAAGCTGTTTGGCATGGGATCAGGGGTGTTTACCTCTCTGGATAGCGAGCTGGCCTGGTTACATCAGGTTTTTGAGTCTCAAACTGTAAAGTCTCAAGTGGGGCGAGCTATGTGGCAAAGCTTGGTGAACATGGTGTGGCGAGAAAGGTGCAGCAGAGTTCATTTGGGGCAGTGTAGGGACTGTGATGTATTGTGCAAGGTTGTAAGGGAGGAAGTTATAGGACTGTTTGGTCGAAATATATATGATTTCGTTTGTGTTTCGTAGTTTATAGGTGGAAGTTTGGTTTTTTGTTAATCCTTAACTAGCAAGGGTGTTGCTAGTGTTACTTTTAATGAAACTAAAGCAATCCGATTCATAAAAAAAAAATTATCCAAAAAAACTATGAAGCCAAAATAGCTTTCACCTTAGAGGTGACCAAGAATGCTTCGCTGATAAAAACTCAAGTATACAATTAATATGATACCTATTTGTTGTTGGTACATGAAGAATCATCATATTGGGTAGGAAAATAATAATTTCAAGATTATTTTTTTATAATGGTGAATGAATTTATTGTAAGGAAAGGGAATATAACAAGGACCAAGACCTCCAAGATCAAAAGAATCGATCCTAGCTGCATGAAGTCCTGGTGTGATAAAAGGAAAAACAATATGGTAAAGGAAGAGCACACACCAAAATACGAGCAAAGCTATACAATACAAGGCCATCCTTACCACAGAAACACATGAAGGATCAAGATTATGTTATAAAGCAAATTAGTTGATGAAGTTCGTGGACGAAATATAATGAGAACCAATATGGATGTTATCATAGTATCAAACTGACATCAATATCTCATTGATATCATGATCTCATCGTAACTGGAAGGTTAAAAACTTAAAATACTTTCACTCGAGAGGTATGGTAAACCGCGTTCTCGCAAATCCTTATTTGCTCCCTAGCTACCATAAAAGAACTAATACTAATTAATAACCAAACCTTTGTTACAACCTTACTACTCAAGGCATTATCAAATTAGTCGTACACATCTAGTTTATAGAGATTTCATACAGTAACTTGAAGTAAGGTAACTTGATTTTTTTTACCTGCGAAAGTAGGTTTCACAGGTCGCATTACGTTAAATACAATAAGCATTACGTAATTGTTACGTAACATATGGTAATCTTACGTAACGGTTGTAAAAGATCATTATGCAAGCCTTACGTAATAGAATGTATCTTTACATATTGTGTATTAACCCCACGTTACGTAAAATGCTAAGTCATTACGGAAGCCATACATAACGCTACTGATTTAACTGTTACGTAAGAAATAATTGTCGTCACGTACCTTTACGTAATGGAATGTGTCTTTATGTAATGAGTATTAACCTCGCATTATGTAAAGTGTTAACATTACGGAAGCCTTATGTAACGCTTCCGATTTAACTGTTACGTAAGAAATAAATATCATTTCGTAACTTTTACGTAATGAATCTGTATTTTACATAACAGCTGTAAAATGTCATTACGGAATGGAATGTGTCTTTATGTAATGAGTATTAACCTCGCATTATGTAGAGTGTTAACATTACGGAAGCCTTATTTAACGCTTTCGATTTAACTGTTACGTAAGAAATAAATATCATTTCGTAACTTTTACGTAATGAATATGTATTTTACATAACAGCTGTAAAATGTCATTACGGAAGCCTTACGTAACGCTTCTAATTTCACTGTTGCGTAATAAATAACTATCATTATGTAACCTTTACGTAATGGATGGTCTCTTTACGTAATGAGTATTAACCTCACGTTACGTAAAGTGCTAACTTATTACGGAAGGCTTACGTAACGCTTCTAATTTAATAAAATTAAAATAAAGAAAGCAAATTAATGTGAAAAAGGAATCCAAAAAACAATAAGGGTAACTTGTGTAGGTGGTGGCCGCCAACCCACTGTAGCTTAAAATTATACCCAAGTTACTGTAGGAGGTTCCATAGTTTATATCGATGGCTTCACCCTAAACTAACACTATGTTTGGCAACAAGGGGGGTACAAGTATGAGGTGGATGCAAGTTGAGGGGTAAATTGTTGGGGGGTGCAACTTGGTGGGGGTGTAAGTGGAGGAGTGAAGTGTTGTTTGGATGAAAAAGTAGGCGGTACAAATAAACCGAAAGTAACTAATTATATTATTATAAAATAAATTTATCAAATTTATAAAATATTATCATAAAAATAAAATCAATATATATTAATAAAAATAATTATTTTATAATAATGCTCAAATAACAATTAAATATAACAACAATAATAATTGGTCGAGCGACCTCAAAACTCGAAACCCAACTCATAACTGGTTCTCCTAAGGGTGTTCTCATGCCTATATTTAAATTGAATATGGTCAAACTTAGTCAAACACATTCGAATATGTTAGTTTTAACTATTTAGTTAAGTAAACTGAGTCAATTAAACTGTTCCTCTCTATCTTTTCCACAAACGCTTCTTATCTTTAATTTTCAATGCAAATTTGAGTCAACCAAGAGATATCGATTTGACTAGACGAACATTAACAAACTTGCTCTCGAAGTTAAATGTTCAACCCCGAACAATGTCTACAATAATGATAGCTATAAGAAAAAATTAATAATATTAATTATTATGTAATTATAATATAATTAAAAAAACCTATTATTTACCCATTCCCTCTTCCTTCCTTCCATTGCACTCCAATTCGAGGAGTAAGCTAAAATAGTAATTCTGCAACAAGTTTTGCACCTCACTACTGTTATAAATTATCCAAACGGGTGTAAATATATTGTAAACTGGGTTTACCCTTCCATTTGTGCTCTCTTTTCATCTGCACCTCTTCCCAAACATAATGTAAATGAATAAATACAGACAGGCATGCAGGCATATCGTTGACAATAAGTTACCAAACAAGGTCTCGCCACTTGAAAGCAAGACCTTAAACCAACTTCAAAAAAGGCCGCACTACATGACAACATGTTCAGTAAGCATACTCACCTCCCTTGGCCCACAATTTTTCTATTATGCTAAATAGTAAATAATCATCATAGTTTAATATACATCCTTGTCTGACAAGCTCGACTTCCTTTTTCTGAATTCACAACCCGAGTTAGGTTTAGGGATGGCAACAAAATCCGAACCTAACGGTACTCACCCGACCCAACCCGGTCAACATAGGTAAAATTCACACCCCGAGTTAGGCTTAGGGATAACAACAAAATCCGAACCTACGGGTACTCACCCAACCCAACCCGGTCAACGCGGGTAAAATCCGTGTTGACGGGTTTTGTGTCGGGTTTGGGTTTAAACCCGTTCACTATTCACCGGGTTGGGTTTGGGTTTAGGTAAACCCGCCTCATGGGTACCCGCCCACACCCATATAATTAATTTTCTCGGTATATTTATTATTCTAAACAACTAATCTTATTTATGTTTGTGGAGACATGTCTAATTTTTTTCTTTCTAATTGTGTAGAATGAAGTAGATGTTATCGAGTGGAGAGTGAGGAAACTTAATTGAAAGGAAGAAGCTTTCAATTAATCATGTTATTTATGGATAATTTGTGATTTGCTTCAATTTTCTTGAGTTTTCTAGATTGGTGTTGAACAATTTGTATAGTTAATTTGTTATTTGCTTGAATTTTCTAAAATGTTGTTTTATATATGGATAATTTGTATTGAGAGATTGATATTTGACTTTAATTTTGCTAGGAACTTGTTATTGTAAATTTTTTACGACAAAACCTCGTGGGTACCATGAACCCGCGGATACCCAGCGGTTTGGGTTGGATTTGAGTTTTTCAAACCCAATGGGTTTTACTCCGAATTTTTTTCACAGATAAATTCATAAGTTTAGGTTTGGGTTTGGCAAAACCCGACTCATTGCCATCCCTAGACTTAGCCTCCATATTGTGTCCACTTCCAGGCTCTATATAAAGCACTAATCAAACTCCCCCTAAAGCACACCCCCACAATCTGCAGGTCATATCTTCTCCAACAACAGTGAAATTAAAGAAGACAATCAATCTGCTTCCCATAGACATAACATCAAAGATGGGGAGACCACAACTCATTACTACATTATTTCTAGCCCTTTTGGCCCTTTTTGCCGCATCATCAACACAAGCCCAGCTCCAGATGAACTTCTACTCCAAGTCCTGCCCCAAAGCCGAACAGATCGTGCTCGATTATGTCACCAAGCACATCTCCAACGCCCCTTCCTTGGCCGCTCCCCTCCTCCGAATGCACTTCCACGACTGCTTCGTCAGGGTAATTATAACATTTCTATTCTTAATTCATTTATGAGAGTATACTTAAAATCTTATGAAGTGTTCTGTTTTTCCAGGGTTGTGATGCTTCTGTGATGATAAACTCCACGGCCAACAACACGGCAGAGAAAGCCGCCGCTCCCAACCTCACGCTCCGTGGGTTCAACTTCATCGACGGCCTCAAAACCCTGCTGGAGAAAGAGTGCCCCGGCGTCGTCTCCTGCGCTGATATCCTCGCTCTCGCCGCCAGAGACTCCGTCGTACACATTGTAATTAAGAATCCACATCCATCCATGATAAATAACAGACAGAAGCTCCAACATTAATTAATTATATGTGTGGACAAATCGTAGTAATGTATAGTTGTATAATATAACAGGGCGGTCCAAACTGGCAAGTCCCCACCGGGAGAAGAGACGGCAGAATCTCCAACTCCACCGAAGCTCTCAACGCCATCCCTCCTCCGACCAGCAACATCACCACCCTCCGGACCCTCTTCGGCAACGTCGGGCTCGACTTGAAAGACCTCGTCCTCCTCTCCGGTACGTACGTACACAAATTAAATCCGTAAAAAAAATAAAATCTTATATACCGCTCTCTTACACACGACGCGCGAACTTCTTTTTTTGTTGCAGCGGCGCACACGATCGGGATATCACACTGCAACTCGTTCTCGGCCCGGCTGTACAACTTCACGGGTCGGGGGAACGGGCAGGACCCGGCCCTGGACAGCGAGTACGCCACGAAGCTGAAGATGAAGTGCGTGAACACCACCGACAACGTGACGATCGTGGAGATGGACCCGGGCAGCTTCCGGACGTTCGACCTCAGCTACTTCCAGCTGCTGCAGAAGAGGCGGGGTTTGTTCCAATCCGACGCCGCTTTGAGGACCAGCTCCACCACGCAGTCCTTCATCAGCCAGTTCGGGTCGGGTTCGGTGCAGAGCTTCTTCTCCGAGTTCGCCAAGTCCATGGAGAAGATGGGTCGGATCAACGTCAAGACCGGGTCCGCTGGCGAGATCCGGAGGACCTGTGCGGTGGTTAATTAATTGAGTTTTTAATTAATTGGAAAATCGAAAGTGTCTTTTTCTTGCTTGGATTCGTTTGTGCTTTTATATATTTTTTTTCGTCTTTTGAGGAGGAAACAAACAGTGAGATCTTTTGTTCTTCGGATCGGGCATTTGTGGACTGTGAGCAATTTTTTTCTCTGTTGATGTGTTGCGTCTTGTCTGAGTGCGGGTCTGAATAATTGATCTCTTCTTTTTTCTTTTTTCTTTTCTTCTAATATTTTTAATGTTTTGCATGTGTAATTGTTGAGGGGGAATCTTTGTACTAATAATAAGACCAATTATTTGACGGCTTTGATGTATGCCTTTTGTTTTTGCTCTTTTGCTGGCAATTGAAGCAACCACTCCTATGTCAAGATCTTTTCCTCTTTCCACGTTTGATACTAATTTTATGTTAAACTGCTGAACACATCACTACAATATAAAGTGTTTGGTAATTCACCTACAGTTGTCAGAGCTAATATATATGAAGAAGACTTAACGGGGTTGGTTTGTAATTTGGATTCCTGATTTTGGGAATATAATAGATTGTTCGTCTAATATGTCTAGAAATATATATCTGAAATGCAACATATTCATATCACCCAACCAAACAAAATTTGACTTAGTGTGTGAGTGTAGGCGGAGGCAGGCTACTTTGGATGTGTCTTTGGACACAGGTGAAATTTGGGGTAGAGAAATAATACACATATGTGTATCAAGTTAGAGGTGAAAATTGGTACGATATTTGGTATCGGAATACCAATACCGAAATCTTAAATACCGAATTACATCCTAAAATTAATGTCAATCTCAATCCCTAAATAATTTCGATATTTCAATCTCTAAATATTTTGGTATCACAATCGATATTATCGAATACAAAATTAATTACCTTTGCAGTTAATAATTAAATATTTAATTTAATTGTTTAATTTAGGGCAAAGAGACTAAGCAATGAGTATTGATTTTGCCTAGAGCTAGGATATGGATAAGGAGAATGGAGGAGAGATGACATCTCAAATTCTTGTCATTGGTAATCTTTAATATGACGTATTGGAGGCTGAGAGACGACTAATACTAGTGTTTGTTTTTTGGAGTTATGAAAATAACAAGAGATTAGGTGAGAGACGAGAGTGACTTAGACTGGAAAGTCAAAATTGTGTTGGATGGGGGCTTCTAAGTTGTGAAAGAGTGAGGAATGACCTAAGGTTGTGTGCTATATTTCATTAATTTTTAACTTTCGGTATTTTGATATATACCGCCCCCAATCTCGTAATCCTGAATACCGAATAACACTTGAAAATGAATCCCAATCTCAATTCCTAAAAAATAAGCCGGTATTCGATAATACCTAATAGTGATAAATTCGGTACGGTATACAGTATATCCCAAATACCGGTACCAAACTTCGAGCCCTATATCAAGTATTGAACCCTTGACTTTTTGAATAATGAATAAGTATCATATCACTACACTAAAGATTATTTCTTGGTTATTTTCAATTTTATTAATTTTAATTTTATTAATTAATTTTATTTATTTATATTCTGAGAAGAGGACACAGGTATGTTTGAATCCTAGCTTCGCCACTGAGTGTAGGGATGGCAAATATACCCATACTCATAGGTATTTTACACTAAAATTGAACTTTACCACATCGGTTAATACAAGGTATTAAATGGATTTATAAAGCCAACTTAATTATAACAATTAAATCAATTAAGATGGGTCACGTGGGTTGGATTTTTGGGCCCATTTTATAATGCCATAATGCGCCACGCTAGCCATCTATTCCAAAATTTGGTTAAGTGTTGAAGCATACCATTCCTATCAGGTGACCACCCCCATGATGTGGTGAGTGGGGTGAGCATCATACCATCACCCCCATGAGGTGTCACCCCCAGGACACCCCAGGAGGGGTGGCCATCATATCGCCGCCCCCATGACGTGCCAAAGGGGTGGCCATCCATGGTGAGGAGGGTCTTATACCATGACGTGAAATATGATTATGGAGAATGATGGTGCCCCCATGGTATGATCAGGGTGTGATCATATCATACGATAAAGGGTCATCGACCACCCCCATGGCGTGGTCATGCAGTAATCAGCACAACCCCCTAGGATGACGATGAGGGTAGTATGGTGGAGTTGGATGATCGAATTTGGTCAAGACAAGAGGTCTCATGGTGTGTTCACGAGTATGATCACCATACCCCTTAGTGTGGTGAAGTGGGTTGGAAATTTGGCTAAGTATGAAAGATGATAAGGATGACAAGAAACAACCCCCATAGTAGTCAAGGGGGTCATCAATGTACGCCCCCACAGTATGGCCAATAGGCGGTCTCCCTACTCTCGTAATGGCAAAGTATTTTTGCCATTTTTAACTCATGTGATTCGAATATCCATCCATATGGGGCACGGGGTCTGCTTTCATGCCTTCCCCATTTTTGCTCAATAGACAAACAAAGCTACGGAGGAAATACCAACAGCAGAGTGAGGTATCAAGAGAAGGGGGTCAGGACTTAAGAGGGTGACACATCCAACGTTAAGGTAAGCATCATAGCAGTTGAAAGGGCAACCATCACTCCATGTCAGCGGGAACAGTTTCTCGAGGCACTTACCTCTGGTGGCTATAAATAGAAGGTGAAGATGACAAAGAAGGGGTTCACAAAAATCACAACTTGACACCACTTGCCAAGTTTTATATTTTTCTCTTTCCCACTACAACTTTAGTCATAGTTGTAGTTTTGGAGCTCTCGCTGAACCTCCATAGGAGTATGACTAATTTAATGAAGATTTGCATTGTAGTTTATCAAAACATTGAACACTCTTGTTTGATTTTTTGCATATAATTCCTCAAAATATGTAACATCTCGTTCTGGCAAAACCCATATTTCGATCGCTAAAAAGTTCGCGATTTAAAATCGAGCGTTTTGATAGTATTTCGGCGAAAATCGGATAATCAATCGATCGGATAAGTATACGTATTAATTATATATATTATTTTCCATTTAATTCCCATCCATTATCTTCCCATCTTCATCTTTTCTCATTCTAAGACAGAGAGAAGCAAAAACCAGAGCGACCAGAGCCGCGCACAGGGGAACTCCTGGGAAACTTTCACAACTTGATTCTTGAGTTCTAGTTATCCAAAAATCCTGTAAGTAATGCATAATTCATCTATACATCGTGATTTATCGATTTAGAGCTTTGAAACGAGTTTTTGGTTTAGAAATTTCTTGAATTCCCGATAAGCCAAATTAGGGTTTCAGAGTATCCGGAAGCCGGATTGAGCCCAAATTTCATATACGAGCTTCCTGCGGCGAGGTAATCAATCCTCTAGTTTTAATCCATGAATTTCAGCTATTATTTAGGTCGGATTCGGGATCGCTGAATTTAGCTTCGCCCAGGGTTTGATGTGTTTTTATCAAGAATTTGACCCGGAGCCTAGAACTAATATTGACGGGGATACTGCAAGGGATATTAGGACGGTCTCGGATTTTAATTCGGGGTTCATTCGTGAAATTGACGTTTTAGTACGGGAGGCAAAAACCGGTGTTTGAACGACTAGAACTGGTGAGGGAATAGCACGGCATACCGGGTTTGTCGTATCACGATAATTATATTGATGCTTAGAATTGTCCTAGGTGAATTAGAAAGGCATGATTAGGGGTGTATGGAATTTTATGCTATATGATGAACCCTGGATTGTTGTATGATATTATTGACTTGCCCTATCCGATATGGACCTTGTTTATGTTGATGATTGCATACATGTTGCCATTTGTGGCTTAACTGTTGATATGACTTCATGGTTGTTCGATCAGGTGCTTTGACAGGATTTGATATTGTGGTTGTATTTGGATTCACAAGTGGGGGAAATAAACTTCCGAGAGTGATATTATGATGTTTAAGGAGGATGACTTGCACGAGGGTTTATCCCGAGGAAGTGCAATTATACGACTCCTGATTTACCTATGTTGAGCCAATTATGGCCAGGTCAAGTTCATGTGCAAGTAACGAATTATGATTAAGCAAGATGAGATATGGATCATGAATAAGATTACCAAATAAGAGTGATTTGGTCTCATGGTCAATTACATAGTAATTAGGGCTCCCCATTATATTACTCCGTTATGATATGTTATGTCACACCCCTGATGTGGTGTTGACCGTTGATTCATCATAAGATATGACCACACCGAGAGTGGTGTCAGGTCCGATATGACTACACCGGCAGTGGTGGGTCCGATATGACCACATCCAGGAGATGTTTTTTCCGTATTCCCGGGAGAGTAATTAGCATGGGAGTAGTCAGGCGCCTATGATTAAAACATGATAAGATGCATATTCATAAGTCAAGGTGGTTGAGTCTTTTGCCTATTGGGATATGAGGATGGCTGAGGTCCGATCCTAGTGTTTTGGCTTGATTGTTAGATGTATGATAGGGGTATGCTCTGTTATGAACTCACGATGCTATGATTATCTCACTCAGCTATGAGCTGACCCTCTTTATCCTTTTTCTCTGCTTATGCCATGTGTAAGCAGATCATCAACATCAGCAGCAGTAGATAGGTGTATAGGTGGGAGCTGAGCAAGAGTTGAAGGCAAGATGAGGTATGGTCTTCAACTATTCTGTGCTTGGACTACTACTCGGGATTTTGGCCAGTGATCCACACCTTTTTTGTAAAAATGTTTTGAGAACGTTTTTCATGTGCATACTAGCTTCTGATGTAGTGTGAGATATCCACAGGTGTGGAAAGTTGATGATATGTGTATATTTTTGTAATTGTGTAAGTTGTGACGATTAGGGTATGTATAAGTATGGTATGCAGTTGTGCAGTATGAAAAGTGTGACTATGGCTAAGAAAAGCCAATGCATATGGTTGTGAGTATATATGTTTGTGATGAGTTATTTTGCAGGATAAGTTGCAAGAACTGTTAGCCCAGTACGCGAGTAATTCACGTCAAAATTTTATTTGGGTAAATTTTGATAATTAATGTAACACCCGAGATTAATTCGGCTGCAATTGTATGAACAATATGATTAGGCAAAACGTATAGGGTAGGGTGTTACAAAATATCGATGGAAAATTACGTTTAGTACCTAAACTTTTTTGTTCTTACATTTTGGTACCTAAACTTTTCAAGTTTTACAAATAGGTCCAATTTATGTATGTGTAGTTAAAACACCCTCAAATAAATGGATATCAATATCCAATCCATACCCATTTAGATTATTGAAGCAATATTCATACCCAAACTCATCTACAAATCCCCAAACCCATATATACCTCACCCATACCCT